GATGAGCCATACAGTCAATCAAAATGAGCAATCACCGGCTGGACTCTCGATGTGAACCTGGCCAACTCCATTAAGGCATGTGTCATCGTGTTCGCCATCTCCGCAAAACTCTGACACCCACGTTTTCAATACGAGCTTGCCAGAATGTGGAAGGAAGAGCAAAATATGTAAGAAAAAAAACAGCAATTTTAAATGTATCCTGCTTAGTGTGGACATGGCTGTTACCATTCGTCGGCACCAACAGTTTTTGCACAACACACCCTACGGTTACTTCAGGCGCTTCTGATGAACTGTTTTACATGCATTTACAGTTGAGTGCTTCATAACTTATTTCATGACAATAAACAATAAAGTGTGTGACTTCCTCACTGTGAAGTGGAAGGATGCATCAATGGACGTTTCTCTTTTTTGCCATTTGACTGCACATTTTCAACCGTTATCTATTCAGTCACCCTCTGCTGAGTGCTGATTTTTGCAGTGTCCCTCTTCATTTTTATGCCATTAGGCACATTCACACCTGCAAGTCAAGCAGAGACTTCAGTAAGTCACCTTTCAGCTTCGTTTAAGTAGGTGCTAATTGTGTTGCGCTTCTTGTTCAAGGGTACAACGGCAGACTTGTTATTTTTTCACAGGTAAGCTAGGGGTTTAAACGTCTCAGTCACTCATTAAAAGCAAATGTTGAATGTTTTTTAAATAATAGTTTAAATGACAAATTCTGATCCTGTGGTGTATTCAGAGTTACAGGTATATCCATCCTTTCCATTTTCTATCCTGTTAAACATCACAGGTGGCTGGATCAGTCTCAGTATGCAGTGGGCTGACACATATAGACAACCACACTCACAGTCACACCTATGGGCAATTCATGGGCCAGTTCACCTAACCTACATTTCTTTCAACTGTAGGAGAAGAAACAGCATGAACTCATAAGTCAAAATCATAAATTCCTGTAGTTCACCAAGGATTATGCCTTCAAATTGCTTCTTTTGTCCCAGTACAAAACACAAACATATTCAATGTACAATGATATAAAACAGAGAAAAACAGCAAATCCTCACATTTGAGAGGCTGGAACTTTGGAGTGTTTGGCATTGTGCTTGATAAATTACTAAAATGTCAGCTACTTTTTTGTTGATTCACAAATCGATTCATTAATTTACCTTGTCAGTACTAAAGCCCCTTGCACAGTGCGCAAACTATTCCATGGCTTCTGGGGAGCTCACTTTTTCACCCGAGGCTGTGTGTGCACTTGTACGCACCTGTAGGACAGGACTGACAGTGACTCTTGTTGCTGCAATGGCCTACTTGCTTTATGTCAGCACATCTCATATTTAATAATCAGTGCAATTGAGATATCAAATGCAAGAGTCAAATATCAAACCTAACATACCTAACCCTTTGAGTTGCAGTGTTTATGATACTGAGCTGCCCGCCACAAACCGCAAACCAGTATCTTTTTTAAAGTGAATTAATGATCACTGATAATTCACCCTCATGCATGAATCACACATCAATAGTAGCCAAATTTTATGAATGAACCATAATATTGAAGATACAGCAAACTAGAAATACATAGCAAAAATAGGATATTAGGCAATATTTTATACACTCCCCTAAAATTTCACAAATCAGGTTTTCAGGGGAGCTCATGTCTTAAAAAGAGGAGCCGAGCTCCCCGTGGCTCCCCTGTAGTTCACACCCTGCCCTTGCATACATGAGGTGAGCATGCAAACTCTACACAAAAAGTCCCTTTTTGGAACTGTTGGGTTTGAACCCAGGACCTTCTAGAGACACTGTGCTGCTGGCCATGTATGAAAACATGCACCCTCAAACCATTATCATCTCAAATCATAAAATGTACAGTAGAAAAACTAAAAAATGCGGCTGTTGCCTCAACATGTATTAAATCACAATACAGTATCAGTGCTGCTACAATGACTTCCCTTTGAGTTCTACAGAATGCACTTAAACACAATGACAATGCGCTGAAGCACAAACTGGGATCAATGCCAAAGCATTATTGTGATTAGACCCTGTTAACAGCAGCAACTGAATAGAATTACTGGGTCACTAGAAAAAGGAGAAGCACATCCCTTTGGACTGAATGTTACTCTTTTACCAAAGGTCCCGTTCTGATTCAGGTCACACGGCACTATAACCCCTGTTCACACCTACTCCCTGTGTCAAACATATTTGAGAATATGATTGTTTAACAGCGAGAAAAAACTCAATTTGTTAAACTATTAATCACAGTGCAAGTGGAGCCATCGGAGAAATTCTGTACTAGCAAATAACGTAATCACTCAGCTTCACCTCCTCTTCACTGGGCTAAGCCACTGACTCGGTGTGTTCTGAGTGTTAAAGCACATGCGCTCTGACCTTTTCCTTACCATAAATCACGTAGGCTACTACTGTTCTGCTGCCAGGATTTTGTTTAACCCAATTTGTCACTGAGGACACCCCTTCTACCCCCACTGCAGATTCGCACAGTGGGACCAGGAGCATGGGATTAGTGGGCGGATCAAAGCATGCCATCCAGACCTCTCCCTTGTCTTGTAATCATGGAAGTCCGTAGCTTCTGGAGCTGATAAGTCCAGGCTACTAGTGGTTACAAGGCAAAGAGAGAGAAAGACTAGTGACTGGATCTGCGCCTAACAATTCCCACAACCAAACCTTAACTGGTGTGTTTAGTCCAAATGCCAAAGATATTCAACTTAAACCCATATAAAATAGAAAAGAAGCACATCCTCACATTTGACAAGCAGGAACCAGAGAATATTTTGGCATTCTGCTTGTTAAATTCAACCATTACTTCTTTAACAAGCACCCCTGTTTTTGTGCACAAGCCAGAAATTGTTACTATCCTCAAACCCTTTTAACTATATTAATAATTCCATTCTCTTCAAATGATGCAGAACCACATTAACAGAAGCACAAACGTGGCAAAAAAATGTTTTCCATTCTTGCTAATAATAAGAATATTTTTGCTGCTGTGCTTTGTGGAGATACCAGCGTGCCTTCCAATGATGTGTAATTTGTCAGAGCTGTGAGAGTATTCAATAATAATGTAACAAACCCCTGCTCTCAATCTACATTCTGCCGCTCGCTCAGGGTTAATCTATTATAAAAAATTGGCGTAAATTATTTTTCTGTTCATCGACTACGGAAACATAAAAGAAAAGCCAGGAATATTTACCTGAAAGAGGCAACCAACAACCCAGACTGAAAGCCAGACAGACAGACGCAATACACACGTTCACACATTATTATGACAGAAACAGGTCATGGAAGGTGTGCCAAGAATATCAGACAAATGTGCTGTCAGAGGGCAATTGCTCTGGTATGATAGCTGTTTTGGCCTCTGTGGGCATGACAATGAGAATAACCAAGCACATCCTGCATGCAGGCAACCACGAGCCATTCACAGTGCCAATCCCCAGACTTCTCACCATGCAGTAATGGAAGCTCAGTGGTACTTAAGACCAGACTTCAGGGTGAATAAGTCTGCGTTCACACTGCAAGCTTTAGTGCTCAATTCTGATTTATTGCTACTATCTGATTTTTTTTCCATCAGATTCCATTGTGTACAGGTCCTAGAGTGACCCACATGATGAACGTAGATCTAGAGCAACATAAAAGTCACATGAATTCTGATATGACTGTTCAAAGGGGGGGCACATTGCAAAGACCTGCATCTGATTTGGACCCCATCAGAAAGTGGCTTAAATCAAAAAAACAAATGAGTCACACATGAGCAAAAAAAAAGTCCAATTTGGGTCACTTGTACCCGCAGTGTGAACACAGCCTCAAAACTCAATAGAAACATTTACCACAGCTCCCTTTAACTCAGCTGCTGTGGTCATGTAAACTTCCTGTGGCAGTCGACACCTCCTTTGGAAACTAGAATGAGCTGAAGTGGCCAGTGAGCTTTATATAAACGGAGTCGTGCAGCGATCCAAACCTCTAATCGCACCACCATGTAGACTTATGTTTCGTTTGAGGCTAACTATATACCAAGACAGTTATTCCTCTTTGAGTTTCTCTGCAAAGAGCTTACAGTAAACTTGTCTTTTCTTGCCTACTCTTCTGCTATATGATGTGGGTAAAACATTTAAAAGCAAATAATCCTCAGTTTTGGAGTTAAACTGCTACTATCATGCAGGTGGTGTAGGTTGGCAGCACCTCTTCAACACAAATGACAACTTTCAAGGACTTTTTCTTTGTCCAACTGAAGTGACACAC